AAAATTAACTTTTTATTAATAAATTTCTAAAAGTTTATTAAAAACACAGTGTGTGTTTCCTTGTCAAGCAGACAAGTAAGCAAACCAACCATCTTTGGCTTTCTTACTTAGCTCCTTGACAAGGAAACACTCCCACTGTGTTAAAATACAAAAGGTAAAAACTTAAATTATGAAAAGACTAATTTAGCAGTTGTTAATAACCTGAAACTTTCATTAAAACCATTCATTTATATTTAAAAAAAAAAGATATTACATCATAAAACCATTTTTATTACCTTGTTAATAAGCGTCATTGCATATATCAGAAGCTCGATATCAGACGAATCCTTTTCGTTCAACAAATTCATGATATTGGACCAGGGTTTCACTCCTAAAATATTTATCAAGCTTTTGATTATTTTCTCATCTAAATTAATTTGATTAGGATAATTAAAAACTCTCTTTAAAAATTACAATTCATAGAATATTTTTATGCAATAATTTACTTAATTTACTAATAAATTTGGTACTTAAAACAGAATAAATGGCTTGTAATGAATTAACAAAATATTCAGATTGGAAACCCAAATATATAATCATATAGGAAGTACAATATCTAAATTTTCAACCTGATATTTTCTTCTAAATATATACAGGGTGTATCAATCAGTACAGCTGTTACAAACTTTCAGGAGAGATAGAGTACACCTAGACCATGGGAAATCACATAGCAATGCGCGGTCGGAAACGCTTTCCTGGCGCGGTAGTGACGACACAAAACACAAGAAAGGAAGGACACAAACAGGTTGAGAAAACACATTTATTATTCTTAGTACAGCAAAAATGAAAGAAGGTGTTTGAAATTACGACCCTGGGCCGCATCACGTCTCCTGCACTTTGAAGATCTAATGTTGTCGAAAATAAACATGTTTTCTCACCCTGTTCGTGTCCTTCCTTTCTTGTGTTTTGTGTCGTCACTACCATGCCACTACCATAAATTTCCGACAATGCATTGCTATGTGATTTCCCATCGTCTAGGTGTACTCTATCTCTCCTGAAAGTTTGTAACCACTGTACTGATACATCCTGTATACATATATGTGTATATATATAGGGATGAGGGTTTAACAGAGGAATCAACTTGATCCAATGTTAAGAAAACAAACTGTGTGAGAAGAAATCATCCTCCGCACAAAAATAACAAATTCTTCAACACATATTTTGAGTAAACTTTAATTTTTTACTTGTAGAGCAAGTTGAAAACACCTTATTTTCTCAGCAAATAAAGTATTGGAGAATTTGCTAAACTGTGTGAGGTTAGGAAAGAGAAAAGTGGTAAAAAGCAGAGGCAAGACAGATTTTAAACAGTGAAATTATAGTGTGGAAGTTATGTGACATTATCTTGTTCTTCTCATCTTTTGTCCTTATAAATTATATATATATATAATTTAGGATCATTATACAGTCAAACAGTAGGTTAATTATTTTCTCAACTATTCACTTTAATTTGCATATCACCATTGTATTCAATACAGCGGACTACAGAGGAACAAGCTAATTGAATGGACTATTTGACTTATTTATATATAAATATTGAACTCTGATTTGTGGTTAAAGATAAATAGATAAAATTATATCTTTAAACTAGACCTGATCAGTCTTTAAGACATTTTCTCAAATTATACGTTCTGATAATGCTTTTTAACTTAGTAGTCAATTGTTTTATGTATAATAATAATATGTAATATGATGGTAGAGTTATTACTTGTTAGAATCCAAAATATTTTGTACAAACTTCGAACTTTATTGATTAGTAAAAACTTTTGTACTTATAAGCAAAGAGAGAACTACAAGTAATTTTATGCGTGCAACAAGTTAAATAAATAAATAAAATATTTATGTGAGTGTAAATTTGTTTTTAAATATTATAAATTGTAAATATTTTTAATATATGCAAGAATATCTTTTGAAGATAATTAATTAATATTTGAAAGAATAATTTTCCATTATTATATTTACTCATAATTTGTTAATTATAACTGTATTGAAAGAAAGTATAATAGAAAATTTTCAGGATTTTCTGTTATACTTTCTTTCAATACAGTTATAATTAACAAATCTTGCAATAAATCCTGAAAATCTTGCAATAATAAAAGATGGATAAGAAAAAATTAATAGTTTAATTTAATAAAAATTAAATAGTATAGTTCAGAAAAACAAGAATTTTCTGTTTTAATGTAATTTATTGTAAAAATTGTTGAGATATGTTTAATATTCTTAGCATCTAATAATAATTTCTTTAGTAACTGAAACTAGTCAAGAAATTATAAGTAATGTAAATACTATACTTATGATTATATTTTATTGATATGAACCATAAATAAGTTGTGCAGTTCACCCACCCCCTTATAACACTGTTGATAATTGCGTTTTATAAGAATTCCATGTTGTACAAGTCACTTAGATTTTACAAATACGTGTGCTGGGCTGTGAACGGCTCACATATTTGTAAAATCTAAGTGACTCGTACAACATGGAATTATTATAAAACGAAACGTATCTATCGCATTATAGGGAGGTCGACTGTATTATCTCTATATGATTATACAAAATTATTTTCTTATATAATACAGTAAATATGAAATGATACATTTTTGTAACAACAATTATTAAAACAGTCAATAAATAAAATCTTTAATTATAAAAATAAAATTGTAATTTTCAACACATGAAATACTGCATACTGTAAGTGACATTGTCTGTTTTTACAAAACAAATACTAATGTTTAAATGTGTTTCAAGTGTCTGAATACAAATGAAATATTATTGAAAATACAGTATAGTGATAAGCTTATATGCATAATTTCTGAAAACATTTTGTTGTTATTCTTTTCAAAAAAAGAATTGTTTCTTTAAATTAACCACTTACTATTGAGACCTTAGTGGACAATTATTGCTTTTAGAAAGATGTTTTATTCAATAACATACATCTTTTTACTATATGCATTTGGCCCTCTTCAGTTGTACTATAAATTAAAGTACAGTACATGAAAGTTACAATTATACTGTATTTACAAATTATTCTAATGAGTATTTTTACAAAATTTTATATTATTACTAATAATTAAACTGTTTACATATAAAAATATTTTTTGTCATCTTAATTTTTTTCTTTAATAATGACTGGAGTTGTGTATTGCAGTGTTTTTCAACCTTCTTGAATACGCACCCCCTTTACAAGTTAAAAAATTCTGGCAACTCCCCAGGGCCATATTAAAACTATATCAGTGATTTTAAAAACTATGTATTTAATTTTCTTTCTTTAAATATCGATCAAAAAACCAATTGAACTGTAAAATAAACAGGCACAGCCTTCTCACTGAAATTCTAGATTTTTTTTATTGTAGTGTAGGACCTACAAACACTTGTCTTTTTCTTTCACCTGCGACCCCCCCCCGTGTAAGGCTTTGGGACCCCTCTGGGGGTTGCGACCCACAGGTTGAAAAACACTGGTGTTTTGTATAAACTGTACATATAATGATAAAAATAAAAAAATCTTATATAAGTAAAGCCAAACGACAATTAAAATTAAGAATTAAAGAACACACAGCCACTATTAGGTTAAGTTATAAAGAACTGGTTTATGCACATCAAAGAACATAACTGTAAAATAGACACAAGTAATATTAAAATTTTATGTAAAGAAAAAATTTAATAAAAAGGAGAATTGAAGATGAAAATTCTGTTAAATTTAAATGATGGTCTAAAATTAGATGTGTGTTGGAATGATGTTTTCTAATTAAATAGTTTTTGTAAACTACAACATATTAAAAAATTAAATTCTGATAGTAGTTACAGCTTTTGCCTTCTTGTACACTTTAAGATCAAATTTGTAAAACTTGAACAAAATATTTTTTAAAATGTAANACCGAGTTTGCTTCCGGAAATGGAAGATCACACCGCGACCCGAGGTCAAGCGAACCTCTGGCTCGATCCACTTCCGGCCGGTGTCTCGCCTCCGTTCGAGCTGGGAGGGTAAGAGAACCGGAAGCGACAGGATTACAAATCGAATAAGAGATTCGCCCACCGAGAAATCGATCCCTTGCCATGCATTAAAATCTCGTATTACCAAAAGTCTCTTCCGTATGCGCATTTTCTGCTTGGAAACCGATCGAACTTTGTGCACGCGTAAAATTACCACCCCTGGATATAACGCGGAAGTTCCTAAAAACACTACCTTTTTTTTTTTTTTTTTTTTTTTTTGCAGCGGCGTGTAAGGAATAATTAAAGTAAATGTATAAATTTCAAGTATAAACACACTGGAGAACGGAAAAGGAACAACGAACGGTGAGACCGAGGGGGTGAGGTCGAAGTTCATTTCTTTTTTTCGTCACATCCGGTTCCTAGTCGTAATTCTTCACTTCTCCATCGATATTTGCATTATTAGACAGGCTGAAGAAATTCGTTTCCTGTTTAACATACCGTTTCGTTCCTGTTTACCGCGAAACAGTCGTAAACAAGAAGGTCGTAAACGGAAAGAACGAGAGTTCAAAATACAAAGGAGGTTCCCGAATTCCATTAAAAACAATGCGAATTCATCAGTAAAAGTGATTTTTAAGTGTTTTCCCCACAAAATTCCTAAGTGGATTTGGCAATTTTAAGGAAAAATTCTTCATATACCTGTACGAATTTTTGAATTTTTGCATGTAATTTTATAACAGGAACCCTTTTTCGTATTAATTATTAATCTGTAATACCTCCGTTACTTGTTTTCTGACGTAATAAAATACTAGAGTCATCTCCCCCTCGGAATTAAATTCTGACGGGGGGGACGAGTCCTTCGGGATTCGACCCAGATCCGGACTTGGAACCGGTCTTTTGGGTTTACGGAGAAGATAAGGGGGTGGGAAGATGCGGAAGAGAAAGAAAGAAAAAGAAAAAATATAAAGAAAAGACTCACTTGTCTTGGATCCCATCGAACTCTTCGGCTTGTTCGTCGATCGTCGACTCCAAGTCCAGATAGTTGCCATAGTCCTTCTCCGACTCGTTGTACTTGTATACTTGCAAGGTGCAGTCGTCTAGCTGAAAATTACAAATTTATGGCTTAAAATTAATACATAAACGTGTTATTTATGAAATAAGATCGCGTCGCGTCGCGTGGCTCGACGCCAGAACTTTTCGAGCGTTGCGCCGTTCGTAAAGATTCGAACCTTCGTTAATTCTTCGAGGTAATTAAATACGAGACAAGCTTTGTCTTTGTTCGATTTTTCGAGTGATAGAGAGAGAGAGAGAGCTCGATAGCCGCTTCTTCGCTTTCGCGCTGTCGCTTCGCTTACGTGTCGCGCGCGTAGAAGGCGCGAAATTAGCCCATTGTACGAATAATAAAAGCGGGATGCTGTACCTGGATGACGTATGAAACTTAGGGAAGATTCTCCTCGTCACTTCTATTCGATTTTAGGGAAAAAAAAAGAAAAAAAAAGAAGAAAAAACACGAAAGATCCCGGAGACCCGTCGCGAGGGAGCACCCCCGGTGACTTACTTTGTGAGGAGGCCTGAGCAATCGGTGAACGCCCGTCATCTGGTTGACGAGAGGAATGTTGACCACGAAAGAAAAAAGAGGAGGTCTGGAAGGTTGAGGGAAGGGAGTGCAGTCGTTAAAAGGGTCTATGTCGTTCAGGTATTGCACTCGACACGTTAAAGTCGCCATGTTACGTGCGGGGCTCTGACGCGCCCGCGACGTCCTCTCCCGACGTCTGGCCGGTGGGTGAGAGACTCGGGGAGCATGCGCACTGGTTAGCGATGACGTCGCGGGCGGGAAATTCGTTCGTCGGATTCGAATCTTTATCCCGAAGTTTCCTATTTAAAGGAGGAAACGGAAGCCGAGAAGAATCGCGCGAGAGAGAAGAGGGGTGCGACGATTGCCCGCGAGTAAATACTACACATTCATATAGATGACGCTGCGTCGGAGGTAAGGGTAACGATAAACCGGAAGTGGAGCCGGCCGCAATTTCCGGCGAGTTCTAGAAAAGTAGAAGGTCATTATCTTCTAGGAGGGCGAGTTAGCGGTTACCTAAACTACCTGCGCGGTTGTCTGCAGCACGTATTACAGAAACAAAGGCAAAAATTCAGTCTTTGCGCATAAAAAAACAATACAAATTTGTCGCCATAACTTCGTCGTTTCGTCACTTTTTAATCGTTATTTAGTTATTATTAATATAGGTAAATATTTTGGGAAAAATATATATAAATATTTGAATTTAACGAGTGACGAATCGGGGGAAGGGAGGAAATGCATGAAGTGTGACGAAACGATGGTAAAAATTTCCCCGAAATACGAGTGTACCTGTTTTATTTTATCTTCTCACATTTGCTTGGGAAATATATTAATTTTTGTCACGATTTTACGCCATACAATTGTATTTTAATATTACTATTTTCACTTCACCAAGGCAGGAACTTAATTATCAGATTCCCAAACGGAATTCCGTCCACATAACTTTATATTTTCATATAACAAAATTTATACTAAATGAATATTTATAGAGTACGATATTCTATTATACGTCCATATTTATTTGTATAAGTTATAATAATAAATTCGCCTATACGTATTAGGTGAGGGGCTCTATATCGTTCAAGCGCACCAAATTTGGCACCAACATTCTTCGACACCCTAGAAAAAACACTGTGTGGTACACCCCCAATTACCCTAAAGTTCACCCCTCTTAATTTGTGTTTTGCAGTTTCATTATTACAATTTCCTATTGTTTTTATCACCCTCTCCCCACCCAACCTCATCAATTTCCACCCCCTCAAAAGCCCCAGCAATGCCGGACACATACAGTAGATTCGTTTTACGACCGCTCGCTTTACGACCACTTTATAACGTCTGTACCAAACGCCGTATCTTTTTGTTGGCCTCTTGGTATTTAACCACTATATTCACAGTCTGTAAATATACCGGTGCATTTGGTTATTAGATCAATCTTATATCGCGTAAATACGTGTAAACAAAATTTAAATAATTAAACCTCGTTTTACGACCGAACTGGTTCCTGCAAACACTATACTCTTAATGCCAGTAACATAGGCTAGTTCCTATTGAGTATTGTTATTAGCTATGTAATAACACAGGAGGTCGGTCTATTTAGGACATAAGAGAGGGATGTATTATGCAAATTTATACAAGTACTGTACATAGTGTACTGTACTGTACATGCAATACAATACTTCTCGTTAATTTAATGGCAAAACGTTTCTATTATTAATGGATAATTCTCCAAGTCGTGGGTGGGATAAAGGATTGTCCAAATGTAAATTTAAATGGCATTTTTACGCAAGGACACCCAGAGGAGAGGGCAAAAAATAGAGCAAATTGCTTGGGTCCAGAGGAATTATAGGCTCAGTTTACTTCCTCTGCTTTAATATAATAATTTAATTTGTTGTATGGCTCCTAATATATATATATATTTTTTCCCCAGGCTCTGGATGGCTCTGTTTACGAGGACCCACAGTGTTGGGCCCTAGTGTAGCCGGTCGAGTAGATAAAACCACTGAACAATGGTAGTTGGTCGTGGATTCACGCCTGGTCACGTGGAGTTTTTCGAGTTAGTAACACCTAAATAGGGGTCGGTTAAGTTAGGGGTCGGTTAGGTCCCATAGAATAGGCTGTGTCATGTTTTGATCTAACCTGTAAGCGATGAAAGTCGCGATTTCTTGCCAAAATTTCGCATAATTGTGACAAACTAACAGCGATAATCGCTAGTTTATTATTGTTTCTGGCAAATGTCGCTCGCTACTCGACACTCTGTCGAAAGTGGCAGCTGCCAAAAAAAAAGCATGGACTAATAAGAAACGGGACGGAGAGAGGGCGCTGGTATCGTCTATCGAATGGTCGTGACCTTAAGTAATTAATTAAACGAGAATGACGACGAAAGAGATTGAGATTAATTATTTACAACGATTCTAATTGTGATTAACGAGCTTTTTATTAGTGTTATTGCCTGTAATTCATCTCGTATGATTTATTAAATACTTAGTAATCCCCGATATGCGTGACCGGTTCAATTTATACGTGACGTGAGAAATTACTATCGAATAATGGATAAAGTCCTCCCCGTCTGACATTTATAAAAATTCCTATGTTATTAGTAAAGAAGATCGAACGATTACGAATTAAAACATTCATTTTGGAAAACGAGCGAATCTAAAAAAGATGTCCCCCGCTTTACGACCGATGACTTTAACCCTTCGTTTTTTGACTGAAAAACGTTGTATTTTTGTCAGTACCCGCCTGTGTTATTACACAGCAGTACCGAGCAATCCTTCTCACGATAGGAACCATCAGAAATTGGAAAAGGTCATCAGATAAGGAGGTATCAGAGCCGCATCCTGTATTGAAACTGTACTTCGTATGTGTATAGATAGGTGAGGAATAGAGAGCCTCAATAAAAGAGCTGCGATCTTGGTTATACAGTGATAAAGCGGCTTTAAATAGAACTGAATAAGGAAGCCAATGCAGAGTCCGTTTTAAATAAAATGAACAATGTCATTGGCTTGCTTATTCATCTCTATTAACTTGCCCATAGACCTAATAATAATGCATAACACGACTCACTTTACGACTATTCTCTAGATTTCTCTCAACACATAAGAGAATACAGTCATTTTCTTTAATGTAAAACGAAAAAAAATCCTCTTTACAAACATTCTTTAGACAGTTATTAATAATAAATGATTTGTTTCCTTATGATAAATAATGAATACTGTAAATTAAGGAAATTAATAACGTTAGTTTTCGATACTACATTAATCACTGTAATTAATTTATGATGAAAAATTTTCAAATTTATCGAATAATAATAATAAAATATTACCGCAATTAATTCATTTCACAACCCAAACAAGACAAAAAAAGCTGGTGTATTACCTAATTAAGTCAACTTTTAGCAGTAGATCTATGCTTCGTTTCTGTTTATCTTACCACCCCGCTTTTACGACTAGTATAAATTTTCTATTATTATTATTAGTAGTAGTAGTAGTAGCATCTTGGATAATTAAATTTCAGGGAATAGAGCCTTAATTCTTGATAATAACACTGAGAAAAACTAGGGTTCGATTTACGACGGCGGTCGAACGATTGTTTTCTACCAAACGATTGGCTCGTAATAACGGGGGATCACGATATATCGAATCATACGTGTCCAGAAATACGAAGCACGCTAATATTTTAAATATTACAGTATTTAAAAGTAAATTAATTTGCTCAAAATCTAAATGCAATGTTAAATACACGCGATCTAGTTTCGCGGCGCTACAATCGACAAGTTATTGTCCATCAAATAAAACACCAAGCCCACCAATTAGATACCGAGTGGTGACGGACGATGCCCGAGGCCCACAAGGGTTGGCTGATTACAGATGGACGGATCATCCCCGAAAAACTTCTTAGAGCTTTTAGACCCGTTCGGGGTCTTTACAGCAGTAGGCTGACATCTTAAGCGATCGGCCATTATATTAATTGGGTTTTTAGTATTATTTTTAGTGTTTGTAAGGCCTTGAACAAATCTTCCATTTTCCCACACTGTCAATAACATTTCTAATAGGTTTTTTACACGGATTTCTCAGTAACGTATGTACAGTAATGTGTAAAACACAGAACTTGGTGTAATGGAATAAAATGTCAACTATTTATTTATTTAAAAACTCGAGTAAACACAAGGGATATATCTGGGTAAAGGAAGGTAATTTATACATTTATCAAATAGAAAAATGGCTTTAAAAAAAGAACAGTTAAATTTGGAGAGTCGAAAACAAGAAAGGATTTCAATGACAGCAGAATCCTTGCCAAATCTTGTGTTAAAAAAATAAAATACAACAGAATTTAGAAAAAAAAAAAGATTATTTTAATAAAATATTTGAAATTTTTTTTTATTTAAAAACTAATCAATTATTAAAATTTTTATGATAAATAAGGTTTAAGTTTTAATAAAAATACAATTCTAGTAAGTTATTATTATTATTATTTTTATTTTTCTTCTGTTAGACAGAAAATATCGAACGACTGGTGCCAAAAACTGCCCGATATTGACGTCAGGATGACGTTAAAGCGCGTCAGTTTTGACGAAATAATTGGCTGAAAAAATTTCCGAAATAATCATTGGAGGATTAGCGATGACGTCAGAATATCATTGAAACTCAAAGCGATAAAACGCTACCTTCGCACACATGTCGCGATAGTAGACGTAAGCGACATCTTGCGACGAATAAAATTAACAAATAAAATTATTTTTTAGATTTAATTTCGAGTAAATGTGTAACGTTTCGTTTGTTTGGATATTACAGTTGACCCCCCCCTATAACACTGTTAATAATTCCGTTTTATATGAATTCCATGTTGTACGAGTCACTTAGATTTTACAAATACGTGTGCCGGGTTGTGACGGCTCACGTATTTGTAAAATCTAAGTGACTCGTACAACATGGAATTTATATAAAACGGAATTATCAACAGTGTTATAGGGGGGTCGACTGTATTTAGTGTATTCGGATACCGTTTGGCGTTCTTAAAGTCGATCTATAGAAACAGTCAAAATACAGTATTTTTCTAAGCCAGCAATTAATATTTATACACTATATGCGAAGGTTTTGTTTACTTTCTGTTTCGATTTATACCGTACCTGTGCAAAGAAATAAATACGATTTTTCACATATTAATTATACAGAGGGCCTATCATTGCCCGAAGATACCATAATAGGCAAAAACTGTGTTGTGACTAAGCGTATAATGTATACAGTACAAGGTATACATTGTAAGGTATAAAAAACTGGCCAACGGGCTGGTCACGTGGAACTTTCTGGGTTTTCTTTACGTTTGTAACACGTAAATAGTGCCCAGTTTCCTGTAGAAAGTCCTCCCGGGTGGCATCCCTGTATGTAGTGTCGCTTTGAACACAAGAAAAACCATTTATCCTATTTTAAGAGCTATATGCCATCCTTCAGTCAATCCTTTATTGCCTGAAAGATGGCATATTACTTCCTTCAGGCAGCATGCCAAGCTCGTATGGATAGCGGCACATAAAGGCATCTCCATCAACGAACAAGCTAACAAACTAGCTCAAAAGTAGGCCATACAATTCAAACATTACTCACTGCATAACCTACGAAGACCTCAACACTCTCATCAAGACAGACAACGGGAAACGTATGAACAATAGCTGGAACCATCCAAAAAACAATCACTAGTTTTGTCTGCTGTTATTTAGATAGTGTAAATAATCGATCATTTCGTTAATTCTGGTTAAATTAAAACAAATTGCAGACTCACCTTTTGCTTCGGACTCTTCAGTATCTGCCCGTACATAGCTTGAGGTTTCCTTATTCTGACTGCCCCCGAATCGATCTCTTCTGTATAATGGTGAAGTTGAGGATTCATGGCCTTGCCCCCTCGAATTCTGACAGCGCTCGAATCTATTTCTTCCGTGTAGGATTCCAATTGGGGCTTTTGAGGTTTAGATTCGTGAACCTTGACTGCCGATGCTTCTACTTCTTCCAAAGCGCTGGTGCTGCTATCACTATCTTCTGCTGCCTTGTCTTTTTTGGCAGTTTTCGTCTTCTCGGATGATTTCTTGAAGCTGAACGGATCCTTTACACTTGGACTGGCTAACTGACCCGTACCGGGACTAACTGGTGAAGGACTACCTAGCATCTCGTCGATGTCTTGAAATTTCCCGATAAACAGAGTTAAATTATTCTTCGCTGTTTCCTTCTTCTCGTTATCAGATTCTTCGTCGGTTGTAGCTGGTATTACCGTTACCTTTTCTTGTTCGTATCTGTCTTCAAAGTCTTCGAAAGTTTCCGGTTCTTTACCGTCTCCACCCAGCAGTAGTGAATCTATATTTTTCAGATCTCCAATGAATTTATTCGCGCTGCCTCTTCTCTTAAAATCCGAATCTTCGCTATCTCCCAAATTTTTTGACGACCTCCTGGACGATGACACTGAAGAAGGTTTGCTTTCTTTTTCGTTTTCGGATGCGGAAGATTTCCTCCTACCTTTTATCTTTTCTTCTAAAGGTTCGGCTTTTTTCTCTACAACTTTTTCTTCTTCTTCCTCCTCCTCCTCCTCTTCTTCTTCCTCCTCTTCTTCCTCCTCTTCGCTAGAGCTTTTTGGTTTTGCACCAGCTTTGCAAGGAGTAGGAGTACGCAGTTCGTCGTTTTCCGAATTTTTTATGTGAATGACAGTAGGAGATTTCTGAACTGAAGAATCTTTTGGTAAGCTCAGATTAAATACCGCTACCGGTTCTTCTCCTTCATCGTTAGTCGTAGTACCTTCTTCATTGGCAGTGGCTTCGTAATCCGTAATCTCTTCACCTTCGGTCTCATCTTCGGTTTGATTCATATACATTTTATATCTGGGAATACAATCGAACGATTTTCTTCCACTGAATATTTCCGAAACGTAATCCGTTTCTTCTTCCTCACTCGAATCTCCTCCGCTAAATATTTCTGCCACGTAATCTTTGTCGTCATCGGTAGAGCAAGCTCTTACTAAAATTTCCGGATTCTTGTTAGTTCCCTGTAAATCGTCTTCTTTCTGGCTAAGCTCGCTGCAAGTGGATTCTCTCCTATCCGATTCTTTCTCTTCCTCCGTAGAAGTTTGATATTGAGAACTTTCTTGAGATTCCGACGTTCTTCGCTGAAGACTCTGCATCTGTTCGATCAAATCGGCCTGAGTACTATTGGGTTTTCGTACGAAAGATTGATTTTTTCCAAAAATTTCACCTATAAAGTCTTTTTCACTCTCTTCGGATGATTTCCTCAAAGAAGATTGGGACGAAGTTTTATTCAAGTTTTCCATCTGCTCAATAAATTCACTCTGGCTGATTCCCGGTTTTCTGACGTAAGAGCTACTCTTCCCAAAAATTTCATTAATGAAATCTCTATCGTTTCCCTCTGAGTTTTGGATGGAGGATTGAGAAGAGGTTTCGTCTGTAGAATCCTTTTCGGTATCTCCAGATAATTTTTGAGGCACACTAGAAGATGATTTTTTTACTCCTTCTCTCTGTTGCAAATAATTCATCCCTGGTTTTCGTACAAATGATTGGCTTCTCGAAAATATCTCTCCTACGTAATCCTTTTCTTCGTCTTTCGAGGAAGATTCTGCTTGCGATGTATTTTTATTCATAATTTCGTTAGCATCGTCAGTTTCGCTCTCTTCTGAGGACGACAGGGAAGATTCTGACGAACTTTTCGTCACGGTTGTTTTTATTTCCTTCTCTTCATTACCTTTCCGAACATAAGAAGGACTTTTGCTGAATATCTCCCCCACAAAATCCCGATCTTCTTCAACAGGTTTGGATTGAAAACTCGATTGTGAAGCATTTCTTCCGAATATCTCGGAACAAAAGTCTTTTTCGTTATCCGTGGACGTCTTCCTGGAATTTCTTTTGCTGTCTTCTTCGGTTTCTGTACTCTCATCCGATTCTTCTTCCGAACCCTCTTGTCCACTAGTTTCTGCATCTTTCAGGTTATTAACCATTACTTGGCGGCTGGAACTTTGTCGTTTGGGAAGAGGAAGATTAAACACCACATTAGTTTCCCCGGGGCTGCTTGGTATGGAACTAATAGAACTAGAAGAATCTTTTCTCTGCGAAATATCCGCATGAATTTTGTCTCTTGATGCGTTTCGGGAAGACGAATAAAGCTCCATCGTAGGTTTCCTAGCTATGGGTATTTTGGAATCCCTTTTTTCCTCGTCTTTACATCCTTTAGCCGACGGTCTAGGAGGAAGTTCTTCTAATAACTTTTCTTTCGAACCTCTTCCTCTTTGGCTTTTATCATCATCTAGAATATCTTCCCTAGAATTTCTTAATTTTCTTCTAGGTCGACCTGCCATAGACGTTCTGCTTCTATTCAAATCTTCAGATTCGTCACTAGATGAAGAATCTTGAGTAGATCTTCGAGAATCCATCAAGTCCGCGGAAGAGTTTCTCGACGTTTCATCCAGTAAATTATCTTTGCTTCCTTTATATCTCTTATCGTTGGCAGAAAGTTTATTGTGAGAATTACTCCTCGAAACATCCATTTTGCCTTTTGATTCGCTTCTTTTTACGGGACCGTCTACCATCTTGCTCCTGGAATTAGTCTTATTCAATGCTCCGTCACACTTTGGTCTGGAAGGTGATCGTGGTAAACGACTGATCTCGTCTTGGCCATTTTCTACATTGGCTTCGGTTGATAGAGAAGATGACGACTTTTTCTTGGCCTTTTCGTCCTTCTTCTTCAGATAATCTTCTAGTTCTTTCTCGTCCAAGTTCATGTTGAGTACGGACTTGCGAAAATCCTTGTTGACGCTCTTTTCTTTTTCTTGAGTGGGATTTGGAGAAGTGTCTCGTGAGAATGCAGTCCCCGAATCGTTTTCGATTCCTAACTGACTGGGAGATTTGGAATTTGGAGACGAAAGAACAGTTTCTTTATTGGCATCCGGTTGCACGTTCAACGTAGTCGGCCTGACAGCAGTAGTTTCTCTGTTCCTGTAACCTCTAGGATTGGTATATTTGTTGTAATATCTATCGAAATAATTTGATGTTGGCCGAGAACCGGAATTCTGCCTTTCCAGCTTGAATGAAGCATCACTAGCTTCAACTTGAGTGCTGGCATCTATCTTACTTCCACTTCCAGGAGAAGGGCGTTGAATGAAAACAACTGAAGATATAGTAGTAACATTGTTGGTATCAAAAGGACCAGGTGAGGTAGATCGACAAACTAGAAATCCTTCGTCTTCGCTTTCTTCCTCGGTCGAATCACTAGACTCGGATGAGAAATCAGCAGGTACCTTCTCATTAGTAGTAGATTTCGCATTTGCCTCCGACTTGGATGCTGTTTTTTCCTCTTCCTTTTCCTTCTTATCTTCGTCAGCCAAATTTGGGCCATCCTGACTCTTAGATCTGGAAAAGGATTCTCTCCTCTCACTAGCATCCTCTCGACTACTAGAGCGTGAGTAAGAGTTGTAATTGGGAGTAAAGTTGGCTCTCGACGTGTAACTAGCAGCGGTACCATAACTCGGCCTTCTATCTTGACTTGCCTTGTTGAAGTCGGAAGTATATCCGGAACCTCGATAATCCGACGTGTAACCAGTTTTCCCATAATCGGAAGTGTAACCTCCTCCTTTACTATAATCCGAAGTGTAACCGGAACCACCATAACTTTTATCCTTAGACGTAGAATATCGATTCCATGTTGGTGCACTCGATCCGTAACTTTTTACCGAAGGTGACAATCCTCCACTATATTTCGTGTAACTTGGAGTCTGTAAGAAATTGCAACCAGTTAAAGTTATCTGAGATTCTAAAGTGTAATCTACCCAAGCAAGATATTACTTTGTTGGCATTTACAGCGAAATAACAGAGGTGGAAGGGTTTATGTAAGATAAAACAGGGCACATTTCGCTACAATTTTAAATAAACCCTTCCATCTTAGGCTGAATAACCGAGTAAATATCTCACTTAAGTATTGTATAATCAATAAAGTTACATACCGAGGATATATTTGTATTTCTCCCTCCATAGGAGTAAGCTCCCGGTCTCTGTAAGTAAAATTAATATTATTATTATACAGAAATCGAAATAAAATAATTTTTCTATTAAAAATCGACGAAAACAACCGAGATTACACCAGAATAAACAATTACTCTATCCCTCTTTCACCCACACGTTTCGTTTATAAATAACTGGATTACGTAATTTCAACTTACACTTTTTTTAAATGTAATTTCTGTACGTACTGTACGATTAATTATTTTTTTAACACCTCACACCTCTAACCTTACACGGGAGGATTCCGTGTAACTTGTCATATGATACAATACAAATCTCTAGTTAATTGTTACAAGAAAAATTATATAAATTAAGGAATTTTTGACTGTACGAATTACGAAAATCTTTCTCTGACAGTAGATCTTTTGTGTGGTAGTCGATTATTACATAATTAAATGAATGGTAGCATTGTGTGTTTGATATGTGTGTAATCGATTGTTTTATTAGTCGTTAAAAATTTTAATTAAAGGAAATTATTTTATGCAGATACGATACGAAGAGGAAATATACACGTGTATAAAACTTAAGGACATTCGTAGGCGAATAGAGAGAACTGTATAGGACTGTATATTACTCGACGTCTAACACAGGTTAATACACAAATATAATTGTAGGATTTTACAAATAAAAGAAGTGTTTGTTAAAAAAAAAAAAAAAGTGGACGTGGGTGGAGAATAGATGGAAAGTGCTTGACAATACCCGAGCGGAGACGGTGGTGCGTTACGCTATTTGGCAAAAAGGGACAATTGCCTGGAGCAAAACAGGACAATTTCGTGTGGAAAAAAGGACAATTGCCTGGAGATTTCGTGGGGAAAAAGGACAATTGCTCCAGGCAACTGTCCTTTTTGCCCATAGCATAACACGCCACTATTCTGGAACAATTGCAAGAAAACTTTGGTACCAACGAGCGTAGCGTGCGAGCTCGTTGGTACCAAAGTTGGTACCAAAGCGTGCGAGCTCGTTGGTACCTAATTGCGAGCTAGAAGATCGTCAAGAATGCGTTAGATGCCGTAATGTCAAAGTGTGCCTTAAATTAAACGACAGATAATTTAACTGGCACGATTTCTTACGAATAGAAAATAAACAAATTGAAGTTAATTTAAACTCAGAAGAAAATCGTAGCCAAGATTTTACCTGTTAACAAACATAGGACGCGTAGGCTCATCTACATAAATAAGAGTGGTGTCGAATCAGTGTAAGCAATATAAAAATGGACCAGGCATTCTCTCCCCTTTCTGTCCTTGAAAGACACCCAATTTTGAAGTATATATTCTCTACGAATATCTTATTTTTTCGGGAAATATTTCATGGCGAGCCAAGGGTGGCGGGAAGTAGAACAATTTCACGCTGTCTTCGACATTGCCCCCCGATAGAAATAGACTAGACATCATTCATTTGTCGTGCCAACTAGATAAAGGGGACGTTAGACCCTAATGAATTTTGTCTACGACACCGATTAATCGAACTGCTACACTACAAAAAGATTGCACCCATCACAATGAAACTTTGCATGCTCGACACCTGATTTCTCCAAATGACCCCCAAAATTTTTACATTTTCGGACTCGGGAGACCTTGATACGTGGAGAAATTCAAAAAAATTCGGAGATTTTTCTATATGTATGAATGGGGGAGGGTGCCATTTTGTTCACTCTCTTCGAAGATCAATAACTCCCGTGCTTTTTGTCAAAAATTTATAAAATTTTGCAGGGTAGTTTGCGTATTAGGGGCCTTGATAATGTTATGTTTTGGTGGTTAAAGATCGAGGGAGTAGAGAGATAGAGGGGTTCGACTTAATGAAGGTTTTACTCATTATTAGCATTTAATAATGAGTATATTTTAATAAAAATTTCAGATAAATAACAGGTGGGGCCACTCGCAATTTTAACTAGTTTTCCAGGAAAAACAGGCAACTCGTTGCTAGATTTTTTGGGCTACAATTTGAAGACCTATAAATCCCATACTGTCTGTCTGTCCTTCCTTAATCTTGAGAACAGAGTTAGATAGACGAAAATTGAGACCAGTGATCGAAAGCATAGGGTCATGAGGCCCAGATTAACTATATACAATCGTCTAGTTTGTATTTGAAGTCACGTTATTTCAATTCAAATGTTTTCCTAAGAAAGGAAATAGATAGACGACTCTACTGCTTACAGGAAAAGTATGATGTACAGGGGCAAGCCACTATTAATTTGATGCGGCGAACATATATTTTATATTAAATAAATTAAAAATATAACCCTGCATTGTGACCATGTCATAATATAATAATTTCTTTGTAAAATTTCACATCAGAGATAATGATCAACCTCCAATGATAGAATAACAGAGAAGTTTAAATAACAACAATTGAATATCAACAGATAAATAGAAGTTAAATAAATATTTTGCAAGTGTTAGGCAAAATATTTTGTATTTATTTAAAAATAAAACATTCTAAGTAAATATTAAAAATAAAATCAATCGTTTCGAACTTTCGTAATGGATGAAAACGTTGTTGTTGATCACTTCTTTATCTGTTTTCTTCCCTAATAATAAACCGATTTTCCTGAAATTTCGTAGAAACATTTCCCCCTAATACACACATCTCCCTACAAAATTTCATAAATTTACGACAAAAGGCACAAGAGTTATTAAAGTTTAAAGATGTGCCCCCCACACACAAACGTACAGAAATACCCCTAAATTCGCTTGCATTTCTCTACGTTTAAAGGTCCTCTATTACAAAAAAAATGTAAAAAATATTGAGGAATTTTCCTCTGTTTTGTATAAAAGTAGGGAAAGTAAAAACACAAAAAGAATTTTCGTGTCAGAGGTACGTGAATCGTGTGTTATGTACAGTACAGTACACTTGATTGAATTACAGTACCCGAAGCGTGGATACAGGAATATACGACATTTAGTAGGTAGAATTTTAGTCTACTGTGAATCTAGAAAGCTTAATTATATACGCTGTTTTATATTTAGATACATTTTATTTATATAAAATGATTCGGAATAGAAAACACTCGAATGATTATGCGCTAAAAATAGAAATAAATCGAGATTTCTGTGTTTACTTGGCATCGATTTAACTTGCCAAATTTCTTACGTGTGGTCACTAGAAGTTTCTTTGTTTAGAACTTATACGGTGCTTTTACAACCCCTCCTCCCGCTTTTACGACTAAATTTTTTGATCGTGTCTTTTTTTTCCTGTTATTTTTCACACAAAATCTATAGTAAATTACGACACGATTTACGACAGTTTTATGAGAATCGATTAAGTCGTAAAAGCTGGGTTCTACGCGTGAAAGAATCGTAAAAGTGTGATTTTAAAGCGTAGAAGAGTCGTAAAATCGGGGTTCTAACGCGTAAAAGATTCCGAAAAGAGAGGTTCTAACGCGTAGAAGCGTCGTAAAAGCTAGATTTGAACACGTAAAAGCGGGCTTCTAATGCGTAAAAGTGGGTTTCTAGCGCGTAAAAGATTCCTAAAAGCGCGCTTTTAATGTGTAGAAGTGTCGTAAAAGCGTTTTCTAACGCGTAGAAGCGTCATAAGACCCGGGTTTTAACACATAAAAACGATATTATAACACGTAAAAGCGGGCTTATAATGCGTAAAAGCGGGTTTTTAGCGCGTAAAAGATTCCTAAAAGCGGGCTTTTAATGTGTAGAAGTGTCGTAAAAGCGTTTTCTAACGCGTAGAAACGTCATAAGACCCGGGTTTTAACACGTAAAAACGATATTATAACACGTAAAAGCGGGCTTCTGATGGGTAAAAGCGGGTTTCTAGCGCGTAAAAGATTCCTAAAAGCGAGATTCTAACTCATAGAAACGTCGTAAAATCAGAATTCTATTACGAAAAACCGTCGTTAAAGCGAGATTTAGACAATTTCATCGTTACGAACGAACAATAGTAAAGTATTGTTCCTTCCGAGACGTTTTATTAAATTTGACGAGGAATGAAAAATAGTGAAGAAGAGGAATAAGAAATTGAAGTATAGATACACTTTACGACGTTTTTTTTTTTATTATTTAATAAACAAATTGCATACGAAATGGAATTTCGCAACATTTCTACGTAATCTGCTTGTAAAAGACACACAGACGTACCGTCTGGAATCCATAGACGTAGTGTCTACGACGTTTATGTTTAGAAGTAACAAGGATTATCTGATGAAAAAGTTTAAATTACCAACTTAAATATATATTAAATCCAAAGAGTTTTAATTAACGTAATTTTAAAAAGACACGTAACAATTAAGTATTGTGACGCCATCGGAATACCGGGCTGCAATTTATTTTTTTGGGGGGGGACTGCAAAATGATCGATTGCTGAAGTCCCAAATAAAGTTTTGCCTTATAATTGGCATGGCTTTTTTGTAATTCGTCTGATTTAATTGTTACTGACTCCGCTCATTGGCGAAGGTCATAGACCTAAAAGCATCATTCTCTAAATTAGAACCTATCAAATTGTTATCTCAGACTATAAAAATAGACAAATTGTTACACTGAAATGATTCTATGACTCATTTACTCATCAAATTTTGCTGTAGAAAATTCATATAGGCCTATACACAGAGGGGTGCAAAAGTAGGTACAAGTCGACCCCCCCTATAACACTGTTGATTGTTCCGTTTTATATGAATTCCGTGTTGTACGAGTCACTTAGATTTTACAAATACGTGAGCCGTTCACAGCCCGGCACACATATTTGTAAAATCTAAGTGACTCGTACAACATGGAATTCATATAAAACGGAATAATCAACAGTGTTATATGGGGGTCGACTGGTACAAGTAAAACCTGTATAAACCGCAGTGTTTCTACGAATTTTACTGGTTTAGGGAGGTTCCGCTTAAGACAGTTTTTTACCTTATAAATTCTTAATTAAGTGAATACACGCTTCAATTAAAATTACGTATATCAATTTTAATAAAGACGAACGTGTCCCGAAGAATCATCGTAACGTTAAATCTTTCCGTAACGTTCATTACTTTCGTCGTCACTCGCGAAAATCGACGTAACTAATCGTCTTTAACTCGTTATTTATTTATTTACTCATCTGCTATATAATTGGGTTGAACGCAGGAAGTGACGTAAGTCGTCCGGCTATTAACAGAGCAGACTAAGCTTAGAAAGGGAGGGGTGGCCCGTTTTCTAGGAGCACTTCTTAAAAACACGTGTTTCAGAAAGGGTGCGCAGCTCGTGCAGGAATCGAAATTCGGTCCGGTGCTACTGGCCAAAGAGCGCAGCGGGTCGAACCTTGTTTTAGTTCTGTCGGCCAACATCCGACTCGACAATTTTAAAAATAGAAAGGGCGTCTGGAACGCGACCGCTCGGCCCAAATCTCTAGACTTTCGGATCTTGGCTACCATCCCCTCGTCGAAAATTTACATTTTCCTCCTCCTCTTCCTTTATTTCTCACCACTTTTCTTCCTAAAATCCCTTAATATCCCCGTCAAAAATTATCACCTTCTTCCTCCCCCTCCATCTTCTCCTTTTCCTCTATTTCTCATCCCTTTCTCTCCTAAAATCCTCTTATATTTCCATGAGAAATTAACATCTTCCTCCTCCTCCTCTCTTCCTCTATTTTGAATCTTTTTCCTTCCTAAAAACCCCTAATATTTCTAGTCAGAAATTAACATCTTCCTTCTCTATCTTTTCCTCTATTTCTCATTTTTTCCCTCCTAAAATCACCTATCCTCTGTCAGAAATTATTACCTTTCTCCTCCTCCTCCTCCTCCTCCTCCTCCTCCTCCATCTCCTCCCCTTCATCTATTTCTCACCCCTTTCTCTCATAGAATCCCCTTATATTTCCATGAGAAATTAACACCCTCCTTCTACATCTTTTCCTCTATTTCTCATCCTTTTTTCTCGTAATATACCCCATCAGAAATTAACATCTTCCGCCTCCTCTTCTACTTTTCATCCCTTTCTGTCATAAACCCCACCTACGAGGGTCATAGAATGATGGATAATTCTCGAAGAACACCCTTGGTGGATCTCTTCTTACCCCCCTCCATCGTTGTTTTGCCAGTGTGTTAAAGAGTGACAGAGGTAAGAGAAGCAGGTGAGGGGCGGATTTCTACGACCTCGGCCAAGCTGCCAATTTAGTACAAATGGGTCGACGACCCGAGATTCGCTTTTGTTGCTCCGTATATAAATAAGAAAAAGAAAAAAATACGGCGGCCATCCCTTCTAAAATGCAATTTGGCGATTTTTCTCTTCTAAAGTTTTATTTCTCGAAACCACCGGAAAAGTGCAGTCACCCCAAATATCGGGCGTTCAACGGCTCGTTATCCTACGGGCAAAATGTCACCACCACCAAATAGGGGGACCCAAATCAATCTTCTGTAAGAAAATCTCCTCCGAAGTGAGGTCTCCTAATTCAAATTTGCCTGGGCTCCACGGAAACACTGGGATGTTGCAATCAAACTGTAGAGTATCCTCTCCCACTCCCAATTCCTCGTTTATTCGGTACTAATCCTCCTCCCAACACGTGATCCGAGGGAGCGATCTAAATTCTTTAAAGAGAGGAATGAGGTCGGAGCGTGTGGCAGATTGTCGATTGTTCGGTCGCTGACCTAATTCCGAATTCATCCACTTTTTCTTCGCTTAGAAATTCCTGCAACGTCCTCTTCCTCTACGTAACAATACAAACTAGGAGGGGGGGGAAGGGAAGATAAGTAGGGAAGTTGCAACAATAATAATGTGAAAGGTTGCAAGTTTCTCGCCGCGGCAGCAGCAAACGCACAGAACGTCGGCGCGGCTTGTCGTTTATTTTGAGATAGTGGAACTGTCGAAGAGGACTACGTCACCGTTGCCTTTGCCAAATTTTCGAACGACCTTGAAATCTCGAAAAGACGCGCGGGGGAAGAAGCCGGTGTTTTCACCAATCGTTTAATAGAAGTGACTAAGTGTCGGGTGTAGATCCAACACAAAGGTCATCGAGGATTACAACGTTAAGCTGTCTTTCCTCCTATTTCGGAGGAAATGCCACTTCTCCTGTCGACTCTCGAGTCTACGGGAGAAGACACATTACACACGAATTGCCGAAGTGTGATTTTTTACGTCAAACACTAGCCAAATTGCAGAATTTGGTACGGCTCCACCACTCCAGACTTATGTGACGTTTGTAACACTTTCTAGGTTAACAATGTCAATATGACTTACCCTAGTAAATAAAAAAACAAATTAAAACCCCCCTAAACTTTCGTTCTATCGTTAAAATGTATAATACTAGAAGTCTTGAAAATGGTTTTTTTTATAACCTCAAACAATTAGATTTCCCGTGTTTACAATGGCATTTAGTGTTTCCTCAAACACTGGAGAAGGCTCATAAGTAAATATTTTACTTCGTATATGTGTTTACAAATGGAGTACTTTAAAAAATAAACAAATATTTAATTTCGTAATACTCTACTCTTCCTAATTTTTACATTATAAACAATACAGTAAACTTGGTGATGAAATTCGTAGAGAATCTTCTGTACCGTCATTCGAATTCATCTTGTTAGCGACGACGCGCAAAGACTTGGCGTCACCGCCCGATGAGTAATTTTTTTTATGCCCCCCCCAAAAACGTATTTCTGAAAAAATTGTATATAAAATAACAGTTATCGAGACAATTGAAAGGAAGAAAATTTGAATTTAATTAAAGAGAAGCGATAGAAATCGAGACTTTAATTGGAAAGATGGCTATCAAATGACGGTGCGGATCACTTACAGATTTCGATTGACCATCGCGTTTATAGCCACCGTCTGAAGGAAATTCGGTGAATTTTTGCCAATAGCCGATATTATTTTCGATGGGGGCAATTCGACCAGAAAACCGACAATTTCCGGTTACGAAAGGTCAAAAATTGACCCCTCTCGGTTATACTTGCCGGGAAGTTTCTCTCGCCGATTTCGAGTGGGAAAATAGTTACTCGGGTGGGCCTTTTTTGATGTTAATTAGACAGAAACGAAGGGTACTTACGTAGGGCATGGCAGTGGAGAGAAAAGAGGGCGATGTCTATCGGGTTTTTGTTGTGTCGTAAGCACGACGACGATCGTCTCGACTTCGTTCGTAGAAAAATGGCGTTTCCACATCAAACGGACAGTTTTGGAGGAAGTAATTGGCAGAATACCCAGCCGATACCGCTACCGTTCCGATTATTTTGGTGAGAAAGAAGCGATTTTGTTCGGCCCAACGACAGAGCTGCGACGTACAGTACGCGCGCACACACCTCTACCACTTGGCAGCCATTGTGGCACGGGGGAGGAACCGGGGCTGACGATAATTTTAGAATACGACTTATCGTGTTGGAAACGTTCCCGCCATCCACGCGCCTTCTGCAGCACCGTTTAATTAGGCCTTTCTTCCTTCCCGCGCCGTTTTCCACCCAAAAAAATCAACGCTTTGGGATCGCCCCTTTCCCCTTTCTCTCTGTTATCCGTCTCCACTTCGTTTTCGTTTCGGATAACCGGAAATAGGAAGCGAGGTAGTCCCTATCCCGTAAACCACACTAAAATCCTTCTGCACCCGTTTATTCGGCGACCCAATTTTAGTGTAGTTTCGCCCGGTTGAACGCCCGGAAATTCGGGATTGGATGTCGAAAATCCGAAACTTTCTACTATCTTGGGATGCTCGAGACTTTTTATCGCTCCTAAATGAGGATTTCCTCCCACGGTATTACTAATTACCCAATTATTATCAGTAACGGCCGTTTATGTAAATTAAAGCTGACTCCGATCCTGTGAGGTCGTTTCGTCCGTCTTTCACAGATGTACAGTACTTTGTGTCATCCAAATACACACAAGGAGTTAAGTACTTCCCCATCTTCCTCTTGATCATCCGATATGACGAAGGTCCAGAATATGTTTTACACCCAAATTAAAATATATTCTGGACCTTCGTCGTGTCGGATGATCAAGAGGAAGGTGGGGACGTACTTAACTCTTTCAGATATGAAAGCGCTTTATAGTATGTGTTTGCATAGGCATCCGCAGAGGGGGTAAACAGGGCACTTTAGAGTGTTTATTTAGTCACGAAAATGGCACAGAATCGTATTAAATACTTTAATCGGAGCTCTAAATACTTTGAAATTTGTATAGAAATTAGATGAAAAATGTAATTAGAACAGATAGAAAGTGCCAAATTCGCCTTTTACAGGATTCGTAAGAGTAATTCTTTGCCAATATTCGTAGCCATTATCTAATTTTCCTTTTCTCCAATATTCCTTGATAATTTATTTGGAGATTTTCTGCGACAAATGTGCCAAATGCAGCGTGCTCACCAGTGGCCCAGTGGATAAAACCCACTGAATGTTGTGGGTTCGAGCCTGGAGCTCATTCACGTAAAGTTTTCCGGCTTTTCTTCACGTTAATAACATCTAAATAGGGGTCAGTTTCCCATAGAAAGTCCTCCCGGGATTAAAATCTTCATTATTCCTACTCCACTCGAGATACAACACATCACCCTCTCTATCTTCCCATCCTCTCGACCGTTACCCACCAAAATTTAATGGCATCATGTGAACCGACGTTTAGGTTTCATTGGTATACGACAAAGTGACACATGCCTCTCGGGAGGACATTCAATGAAAAAACAGGTGCCTATTTAGGTGTTACAAACGTGAAGAAAACCCGAAAAACTTCACATTGGCCTGGTGTGAACCCACTATCGATTCGTATCTTGTATCGGGGTTAATATGGAGGTTATCCTAGTCGCTTATCCTTCGAAGAACCGGCCAGAGCATCTTTGCTTTGACCACACAAAATTACTCACGAAAAACCGGGAGAAATGCCTTATTTTAAGGGTAATTGGTTCCTATTTAGGAGTTACAGACGTGGAGAAAACGCGGATAACTTCCGTCCTGGCGAGAACCCACGACCAAACTCCCAGTGTTCAGAGAGATATGCAAAAGATTCGGGTGTTTTTTCTGTGTGTACGAATGTTAGACTGTATGGAAAGCACGATTTTGAATCGGAGTGGGATGGTTTAACACAGGAGTTATTAAACAAATTAGATGTCGACATACGCGTGTCCGGCCCGTCGGTGAGGCTGGAACCTGCTATCAAATACCAGCGTTCGATGGCCGAACAGTTGAGTTGGCAGCCTACCACTGTGAGAAACCCCAAATGGCATCCAAACTTCAGGAATCTTTCGGGGATTGTCCATCCGAATATGTCGAACCACGTCCTTCACTACTCGGTTACGAGTATCAGTATCAGTGTCGATCGATATTATCTTTATTCCGTCGTGTTTAGATGCCACAGAGAGTTAAGACTTTTAAAAAAACTACCAATCTTCAGCAGTGTTATCCACACGCGCCTACTAATGGACTCTCGTGAAAGATACTTGAAGCACCCGATCTTGAAACCCGCCCTTAACATCCGATCGTCCCCATCGCGAGCCAGACATAATTCACTACGGATAAGAGTAGAAAACGCCTTCTCTAATCCATCGAAGCGGAAATAATTAAAAATTAAAAAAAAAAAAAAAAAAAAAAACTCATCAGCCGGCCATTTATAAATCGACCACCGCCGCCGCGCCGGTTGGCAAAATATCGAAAAAATAAAAATCGCTTTAAATGTAAATTTCGATTGGTTTAATTTAATTTAATTTAATTTAGCCACATTTAAAAAAATTAAAACACTTTAATTCAATAATATTAAATCTTTAAAAATAAATAATTACAAAAATATATTCCATTTAAATTTGGCAGAGGGCGCTACGATAGCAACAACAGACGAGAAGCGAGAGGTAAGTGTCGTTTTTCGATGGCGATAAATTGCGTATATAAAATAAGTAAATAATACGATCGAATTATCAGATCTGATATGAAAGAAGTGAAGGGAGAAGACCTACCGGATGTGGTGGTCCTTAATATCTTCGGTTTCCTGAGATTCGGCGATCTTTGTCGAGTCGGCAGGTAAGTCCGACATTCTTTTGTTTAGAAATCGATCTAGTCGTACTTAATGTACGTTTTTTTGTACTAATGGAGACGAAATTGTGACATTTTACAGGGTTTGCAAGCGTTGGTATCAACTGTCGAGATCACAGGTGTTGTGGAAGGTGGTGGATGCAAGCGACGTTCACTTATGTAACCGGGCAATGGAGAAGTTGATCGGCGTGTTGGTACCTTCTGTGGTACACCTTCACGTGCACGGATCCAAATCGAAGTCCCCTTTGAGCGAGAGGCTGGTTGCCGCCCTGTCCGACAAGTGCCCACGTTTGCGCACGCTCATACTGGAGAACACGTACATGCTGAACATGAACCTGAACACGGCCGTTACCTTGGATCAGTTACCGCAGAACGTGGAGACTTTGTCGCTTCGTAAATGCTTCTTTATGACGGATCAGCTGTTTTGTATGGCCTCCCGCATGGACGGTCCGAAGATAACCTGTTTGGATTTCAACGGGTGCTGGTGCCTGAAGGACGACGACCTGCCGTTTCTCAGTTGGCTGCCCGATCTGAGGGAATTGTACTTGGAAAATTGCGAGAACATCACAAACGCGGCGGTCGGAGTCATCGCCGCCAGGCTGTCTCAACTTGTAGTATTGGATCTGGAGGGTACCAAGATTACCACCATGGCATTTTTCATATTGAGTAAGAGCTGCAACCGTTTGGAGAAACTCTTCATGGGTAGAACGTCCATACACGACGGGGCTTTTCTGACTTGCATTGCCGTTAAACCGCTACCGAGCTTAAAGGCTCTGTGCCTTTGCAAGACCGAGTTGACCACCATCGGATTTGCCGCCCTGGTCGACATTTTCCACGACAGGCTCAAGTGGTTGAATATTTCCGGCTGCAAGATTTCGTCGCTTCCTCGAGAAGAGACTTCCCTTTCTGGTATACAGGTAATTCAAACTTCCAACTTTAACAAACAAGAATCTTGTATGCATTTTAATACGAGAAATTGCGATTGGTAGTAGGCAATTTTGATACTAAAATCTTCTTGGATAGGAAAATATATATACATATTTTTGTTCTAAGCACTTTACTTTGTCATCTCGACACAGTTTTCATCACCATTTTCCTTGGAATAATGTAACTTTTATATGTAACATGTTAATAACATTTTAAAGTAGAAATATCGAAACAAAAGAAACGCCTAACTAAACAGATAGAGATTGAAATACTACAAACATAATCATTTTTATCATTGTAAATGCTAATAATGAGTAAAATTATCATTAAGTCTGACTGTACTGAAGATAAACACCACCACCATTATCTCTCCATTCCCTCAACCTGTAACCACCAAAATTTAATAGCATCAATGCCTCTAATGCACAAACCTCTCTGCAATATTTCAGAAGTTTTTGATAAAAGACACAGGAGTTATTAAGCTTCAAAGTCATGTTCCCTCCAAACACATTCAAATATACAGAGAAAAACGCCCAAAACTTTGCATTTGTTGACGTTTCAAGGACCTCGAGTCCAAAAAAAATTTTAAATGTTGTGGGGTGAGTCATTTTTTGATTGCTTTTCCTCTTATATATAATAGTAAGAAAGTAAAAATGCTGAAACTAATTAAATTAAAGCAGATTAACATTGAAATTAGAGATATTTGAGTCTTTTAACTACCAGAGCGTTTCTTTTCTTTCGAGATTTCTAACAAACAATGGTATCGGTTGTTATGACTAAGAACTTTCACACTTTCTTTCATTAAATTATTTTAAGATTATACTTTAACATTCACTTGTTTGTTAACTAAAATTACAATAAGAACCTTTGTATATATTAAATTAACAAATGAGAATTCAAAATTCTTTTTGGCGTGACATCTAATCCAGTTTTCTATGTGTAGATTGACCAAAAAAACTAGTCATATACTCTTCATATTCATCTTTCTGATCTAATCGCTCATTTCCACCGGGGTTCTTCATTATTTATCTCTATAGAGAGGGGGAAAAAAAGAATAGATTACTTCGAATTTCTTAATAAACTTTGTAAATTTTATAAATTAATAATAATAATTACATTACCATTTTTGCATAAAAAATTACCCCTGTTACTTGCTAACAAAGAAGACCCAAAAGTCCACATACCATTATACAGAGTTAAGGGTATTTGGAATTTAAATCTAATAAAAAGTAAAATTTTTAGAGAACCTTTCCTAACCAATTTTACAATCAATTTGGTTATTAAACTAATTACATCCCTCTTCTGACTTATAAGGTGACATCCCAGCTTTGGCATTGTGGATTTTGATGAAGGTTTAAGCAGAGGAGGGCAATTGTCTCGTTTGCTCCCCTTTGCTTAAACTTTAACGTGCCTTCCACTAAAGTTTAAACAATGGTTTACTGTTTATCAGCTCGAGTTGCACCGTGCAATAGTGGAAGGGGTGTACTAAAACGTATTAATTAAAATGTCAGCAAAGATCCAGAATGTTAAAGCTTGAAGTTTTATTTCGTTATTATTGCAGCTAAGCATATACATTACAATAAGGCAAAACAAAACTTTGTTAACACGTAACAAACTGCCGGCAGCATATATTTATTCCTGGATTTAACGCGTAGATGGGTCTGAAAACGGAAGTAAAACCCAAAACGAAACTGTTGGGTGCCGAAAATACTTGGAATGTGTAAAGAGTATGTCCTTATCGAAACGTGATGACGTACAGAGCAAATACTAACCGATATAATTTAAGATTTTCGTCTTTTTCAAAGCCGGGTACACACGTACCGGTATACTTGACAGGTTTGCCTTCAAATACAATACTTGTGTACCCGGTTCAACTAAGATTTCGAGCAGCAGAAGTCTGTTAGATAATTATTTCCTCCCCGGCATCTAATACTAATGGGTATTTAAAATTTCAAATAATCATTTATACGCGTATCAATCCGTTCCTTACGTCTCGATAAGGATAACTCGAACGAGTAATATCTCTACTTATTGTTTCCTGTGTTTTAAGAGTTATTTTGTATTTTAAAATTTATCGTCTTAATATTCGGTTATGTCTTTTGCAAAGAGAATACAATACAAATGTGGATAAATGCTTAAAATAAAAAAAAAGTTTTTTTTTTACTATTGTGGAGAAATTCGTTTCCTACAATTATTCACCAAACACCAGACGTTGTAGTGTATTGTTACATAGTTACGTGGCGCTTCATCACTGTTCTGGGCGTTTGACGCGCGGTAATATTTCCCAAACAATGTGTTTTGAATGTTTTTACTTTACTTAAAAGTAATTTACTACGAAGTCCGATCGATATTAGCAATGTAGATCGGGGTGGAGAACCCGTGGTACGTTTGCCCAAAGTGGCACTCGGACAATCACCCCGATCATCTCTTCTTTATTTTAATTATTAAAGCGTATTCTTTCCCGCGGTCGGTGTGGTACTAATTTGCCTCCCCGGATTTTATTACAGAACTTAATACTAAAAGGGGGAGAGAAAAATTCACGCGGCACGCCTTACAAAGTTCACTCTGTACCTCATTCGGTATTGCCATTAAAAACTTCTTAGGAATTCACTTAGAAAACTAACGTGGAATCCAGGATTCGTAATAAAAGCTTTGTTTATGTTTTATTGTTACTGGTTGAAATTTTTACCGAAAGCCCGTGTTCTTAAAGTAAACCCACGTTTTCTGTCCAGACTTTCAGGAAAAAAATCTTTCGTATTTATTATTATTTTTTTAACATTATGGTACCAGAAATTTTATGTACCGGTGACAAATTTACGACATTTACGCATCATAGAAGGCCGAGAAAACTTCGTCGCTTTCTTTATTGATTTCTAGTGTTACTTTTAACTCGTAAGCATAAGTAAAAGTATTAAAAACATTTATATACATGCGGAATTAGTACTACACGTGTTTAATGCGAGTCCTTATTGGCCCAACAGTGGCCAAGCGGTCTTCGTACCCTGAACACTGGGAATTCGGTCGTGGGTTCGCGCCTCTCTCGGACGGGCTGGCCACGTGGAGTTTTTCGTGTTTTCTCCACGTCTGTAACGCCTAAATAGGGGCCAGTTTTCCTTAAAAATACCTCCCGGAAGGCAGATCGCCCAAGTGTTGCGTTGCGTCGCCATAACCAAACAAGCATTCTAATCTGTGGCGCTGGATGTATAACAGTGACATCCTTCCTGGATACACCATGTGACGTATACTTTTAAAAACTGCCGGTCACGTGACATAAACTACCCCTGATTTATTTAGACTGGTATCGACTGCCGTTAATTTGATAAATACGAGACGACATTTATTCAAATATTTACTTACTGGTACGCATCTTTGAAAAATCAGTTTATGGATAAAAGAAAACAAAGTGTATTATTCAAAATTAAATTTCAAAAATATCACATGGCAGAAATTGTATTTCATTTTCCCGGCAGTTATACAGTATATAACAGAAGGAAAGTATGGCGATCGGTTAAAAAATAATCCTCCCCAAGATTTTTATACTTTTGGACTCAAAAGATCTTGAAAAGTCCAGAAATACAACAAAACTTTAAAGATTATTTTTTCCTCCGTGTGTATGGGAGCCCAATTTTGTTTATCTAATCTGAAGCTTAACTTCCGTGCCCCTAACTAATCTGAAGACTTAAAAGGAATGATAGCAAATAGGGATGAAAATAAATAATGCCAGAGAAGAATATCCTGAGATTAGAGGATCTGTCCAAAACTTCAACATGACATAAACTTTATATCAAAACTTGTAGCCAACCAGTGGCAGAGTGATTAAAGGCTGTATTATTCACTTTCTACAATGGAATCTTCGCACATACCAGGGTGCGACAGGGGTTCTGTAGGCATGCTAAAGATGTTTTGGGGTCCTGGTCGGGAAGTACTTGGTTTTGCGGTGATTAACTATGGTTACTAGATATACACAAGCTGACCTATCCGCCATATTGAATCCAAAGTTAGCATTTGTAACAAATATTATACACAAGTTAGTGTTTGTTTGTGTGTCTGCTAGCATCGATTTCGTTTAGTATCTCAGGATGGGGTAAGGATTAAAAAGAGAAATTTGTTACGGTAACTTGGCCATTGATCTATTAAATTTTGTTGGTTAAAGTTCGAGGGAGTAGGGCGATACATGATGTCGTGTCGTATCTCGGGTGGGGTCGGACTTAATGAAAATTTTAATCGTTATTGGTATTTATAACATTTAAAAAAATGTATTTCTACCCTCAAAATTAAGCATTTTGCCTTTTTTATTACAATTAATAATATAAAAGTTATTTTTAAATGAAATCTCATAACAAATGGTACCACAGTCAATTTTAATTCTGTGTTTCTTTTCTATCTGTACGTTCAGTCTGAAAAGTTTTATTCAAACTAAAAATGTTCTATTGCTGTACTAATAAATACGTATTTTTTTTTTTAAGGAATAAGCTTCATTCGTAGCCAATTATTACACCCGATCGATTAATTTTCCATCTATTTTTCAAAGAAATGTTTCATGTCCAAAAAAAGCAGGTTGTTATTACATTGCCAATTATTTCATATTGATTTGTTAACTACAATGTACTTGAAAGAATGAGTGTGAGGAAGTAATTGTAACGCAAGTCAATTAATTTGTCAGTTAATAATGGAAGAATGCAACTGCCAGAAATACTACTCAACGCGCCTGTAGCATCAACGTAAGAAAGTACACGTATATAATCCACGTTCCAAAATAAATAAATAAATAACGAAACATTAACTTGAAGGAACTTAGTACAATCAAAATGATCACAATACATTATATAGATGAAATTGTCAGGTGTTTGGTTTACCCTCTCAATTGGACAGCGAACAAAACCCAAACTGGGTTTCTTTTGGTGTCCAATTGAAACATACAGAACCATACAACTATACAATAACCATACATGCAGAAAAAATCTCCAAATTTTGGGGTTTTTTGCATGTATACGGGTTTGTGTGTAAGGGGCGCGATTTTGTTCACCCATTTTGAAGCTTAATAACTCTCGTGTCTTTTGTCGAAAATTTCTAAAATTTTGTAGAGTGGTATGTGTATTAGGGACATTGGTGCCACCAAATTTTGGTGTTTATAAGTCGAGTGGTAAAGAGATAGAAGGGGGTTAATTTAAAATTCCTGTTTAGCTAGTAAACATAGTTGTTTATTTACACGTGAGTTGCATCAGTTTTAAGTCAAATACATAAGAAATCACACACTTCTTAGTACTTGAAAGACAGGATTATTAAGCAAGAGAGACCTTTAATTAATATACCAATTTCTTTTTTATTATGTGGCCAACCTGGCAACATCCTACCGTGCTCCCTTTTGTCTCTCTCTAGACTAGTCATTCTGACCACTTGTGGTACTGGTGACAGGCTTTGTACTTAAACTCAAAATAAGTTTATTTTACCGTTTAAGACCTGTGTTTATTTCAAAAAATCACAAGAACTTATTTAGCTAATTCTGTGAGTATTTTTATTAGTTATATATTTCCGTCATGATCAAGAGCGAAGACCACGTCGAGGTTGCACGAGTATCGGTGAAAATTTCACCCTTTAGGAGAAAGAACGTTAAAGTATGGTTTACACAGATGGAATCACAATTTGCTGTCTCTAATATCACAACAGAGGTTACGAAATATCAACGCATACTGGGATCGCTTGACTGAGATAGTCGAATTGGTAGCCAATCTAATATCCTAACCTCTACACGGACTTAAAAACGCGATTTAACGCCTTACAAGGACTTAAAAACGCGATTTAACGCCTTACAAGGACTTAAAAACGCGATTAATCGAAGAATCCGAAAGTAGAAAAGCAAAAAAATTACTCCTAGAAATCGAACTAGGAGACAAAAAAAGCCCTAAACACTACTAAGAGAAATGAGGGCACTGGCCGGTACGCAAGTAACAGAAAACGCTTTTTCTACAGAGGTTGCCTAACAACGTGCATGAATTTTAGTGACCAAGAGAATTTCCATACGTTGGCCGCTATGGCTGACAAGATTATGGAGATAAACAGTCCCAATTCTGTCATTTGTTTCACCAGTGGTGCAACCGCATCGACTCTCTCGTTTGAAGAAAGCAGTGTCATTCAGAACTTGCCATTTCGATCCACGAATTACGAGCACGTTCTCCCTCACGCTCAGAGAGACGACGGCGTTTTCCCAGTCCGAATCTATCGGGTTATAATGTTTGTTGGTATCACTTCAAATTCAAAGCTAATGCTAAGAAGTGCACCCCACCTTGTTCTTTTATACGTGTCATCAAGGAAGCCGCGCTCTCTCTGCAATCCAGAAGGGATGCCATTAATATCAACCTGTGAAAATATGTTTTTGGTTTGCAGGAGGTTTCCTTCCTGGGTTATAACGTCTCCCAAGCAGGAAATGTTCCCTTGCCCGAATGACTTTAAACCATCCGGAACCTTTCGCGTCCGGATACAATAGAACAGCTCCGAAAATTTATAGGGCTGGTCAACTTTTACAGACGTTCACTTCCCAACACAGCATGCACACAACAAGCTCTCTGATTTGTATAAAGACACAAGGAAAAGAGACAAACGAAAAGTGCAATGGACCCCAGATTCAATCTCAGCCTTTGAACGACTCAAAGAGGAACCAGCAGGTGCTGCCTTCTTGGCCCATCCTTCCACTGACCTTCCAATGATGCTGATGGTGGATGCATCATACTTTGCAATAGGATCAGCTCTTCAACAAAAGAATAATTCCATCCTCGAACCTCTGGGCTTCTTTTCTAAGGCACTAAAACCACAGGCCAACTATAGCACATTTGACTGTAAACTCTTAGCGGCATATTCAACAGTGAGATATTTCCGCCACATCTTAGAAGGCAGGAATTTCACATTATATACCGATTATAAGCCCCTAACTTATGCATTCCAGCAGCGTTCGGACAAGGCATCCCCCGGTCAATTCCGTCATTTAGACTACATAGGCAAATTTACCACAGATGTCAGGTACATACCAGGGAAGGACAACTTAGCAGACGAGTGCTCAAGAATTGGCTCTACTTTTCTACCATCAGGAATACTCTTGGAAGATATTGCCGCTGCACAAGCTGTGGACAAAGAGCTTGCTCAGCTTCAACAGTTGCAAACATGTTC